CTTAGGCCAAAGAAACTATAATTTCTTTTATTGTTCAACACCGCGATGATGGTAGTTGTTTTCGGCACGTGTCATTTCGAGTTTCTTCAACTTGGTTTTTGATTTGTTTTAGGGGGGGGGGGGGGGGGTGTTTTGAAGCTATCTTGCGCCTTGCTGATATGGTAATATTTTTTTTAACGGTAATAGCACAAGTGTAGAGAACCCAACCTCCATAACTATACGTTTTGTTCATACTTTAAATATATTATAGGCGGAATCATTTTCAACGGAAAAACATGTGTTGTCCTGCTGAAGTTATGGCAAGTCCGTCGTCTGACCTAGAGCGGCCAGGCATGACCGAGATGACGTCAATGCTCAATAGTTGTAACCTGAAAGTGGCTCATAGCGAGACAATTTCAAAGGGCGAATTTGGCATACTGAGTTGTCAACATTTAGAGTCATTTTGATTACTACTGGACCCATAAAAGTTAAGAACACATCTAGCTATATTTAAGAAGATTTACCCGACTAAACCTCCTCCCCCCCCCGGCAACTTCTCAGTCATCTCTGAAGTACGTTTTCGCTCCTTAGTGATATACATGTATTCCTTCTCTCCATGAACTCTATGTTATTAGCTGATGTTCCTGAACTTTATTTTCTGTATGTCATTGCTCAGAACAGCATTTCCTGTTTGTTTGTTTATTTCTTTGTTTGTTTGTTTGTATTTTTGGCTTTTAATTTTAGAGAAGCTCGCCAACATGGTGGCGGTCCTTTCGTGGAGGGGAAAAGATACGACAGAACAACACAGACAGAAACATCGTAAATGAACAGATGGACTTTCTACCTGAAAACTAATTTTTCAATCCCTGTGAACAAAACGCTAAATTATTATTATACAAATTACGCTATAGAAATTTAGATCTTATCGAGACAGACCCCTCTTTTTAGGAGTATTTGTGATATAAAAAAAAATCTTGACTATACCAAATTTGGCGAAAGATCATCATGAAAAAGAACTTGACAGAAGGCGAAGTAAATACAAAAAGAAAGATACCATCTCTGCATCTTGTTGTGTGTGAAGAAGACTCTAGAATGTCATGTTGAAAATGCTTTAACTTTAACTTAAGTGTGTAACTAGTGTAAAGCAGTAGCTTTACTCGTAGTATCTGTTGAGTTTTTGTTCGGAGAGCGTTTTAATATTTCTAAGGGCAAATACTTTGAACACATTAAAAAAATCGTCAGTTCCATCCTGACTTACTTTTTTACTTTTCACTGTTTCCGCCCTGACTCGAATCGGAACACGTCTGCTGGGACATTTTAGTAACCCATTTTCAGCACTTTTCAAGAACCCCCGAGCAGATGTTGAGTTCCTGCGTGCTGTCGGCATCGCTGACCGTTTAAGACGCCACAGCGCCATAAGAGAGAGAGAGAGAGAGAGAGAGA